GCCTGGAGCCCCCAAATCGAAGAAGAAACTTCACCACTGATTCGGGTCCTCTATTCGGGTTTTGAATGTCAATTCCGAGAGGCCTTTCGGACCCCTCCGAACACACTGGGGGAGGGGGGAGGGGAAGGGGCCCACGTGCTCTCCTGTCCACTTGCTTGCCTTCCTGACTTGAAAAACGTGTGCGCTCATAAGTCCCGAAATGTCACCCACGGCAACGGTCGTAGCTTTTAAGCCATTCCGGAGCGTGCGCCGTTCTAGGCAGCCCCTGCCAGCTGCCTGGCGACGACGGCCTGGATGCTGCACGGTATGGCGTCACATCCCGCTTCTCAGCGAAGCGACGTCGAGGATGATGTAATTGTTGACATGAAGCCGGCCGGCCGTGAAGCTGCAGCTTACACGTACGCCGGCTTTGCCAGGCTTGCCAAATTGGTGTGTCTGCTCCTGCAGTGAGGGCGATAAGCAATCATGCGGAGACTATGGCAAGACAGGAACTGCAAGAGCGATGACTTCTGGCAACCGTACGGCAATGAGTGCATTAAAGTTATGATTGTAAGACGTGAGTGTAACTTGTGTTGGTATGAGAGTAGGAATGCAGCTGTTAACTACCTGAAATGAAGCAATGTGGATAGCTGGGAAGCTTTGATGCTGGGTGAGTGCTAGGCGCGAAAACTGTTTCTCTTCGTCAAATCATTGTTTCATGTACGCCGTCGGAAAGACGAACATCTAGAAAAAACTTCAGCCGCACATGCCAGATTTGTTTTACATTAACAGACAGCATACAACTCACGTATAAATGAAGAGTTTGCGAATGGTCACTGCGTTATTTTGCCGCACTGTTTTGTTGAAGAATGGAAACAAATCGGCTTAATTCTAGCTCTCAAATGCAACCAAGTTATTAGCCGTCTACCGACCGACCTTGCCGGCATTCACTTCGACGTGAATCTTAAACAGAAAAGCTACGAAAACCTACGATCGACAAGAGCTGACTAAACCGATAACGGTATTCGTCCGATAATGACTACCTAAACAGCACTAGCCGTGCCGAACATGCCTAAAGCGGATGCTGCGCTGCGGCGACTACCAGCCGGGGGTTTCCGTGGCAGCCTTTGATGGTCGCACACATCAACTTGCACTCTTTACTTCACGTCCACCAACGTCTGAGGCCACATAACATGGATCTTACGTCGATTACCGAAACCTGGTTTCGACGAAAGACGCCCAAAAAGTGATAATGATTCCCAGCGACATCACCCTCTGTTCAGACAGAGCGAGGAGTCATATAAGAACAGGGCTGTATTCTCCTTTTAAGTTGGAGGAGAGGGGGCCTATTTCATGAAACTAAGAAAAGAGTACGTTATATCATGGAGATACCTGCTTTTTTAAAGCTCAGTTGGCGCTAGTTTTCCCTCGCTCAGCCTCCCTCCAATCCTATTTTGCAAATCTACCTCGCAGTGGTGGAGGCTTAACGACCGTGACGTTCGATGGACTCGACACCAGATTACTCCAGGGTCAGGTCTAGAAGTGAAGGCCCGTTTCCCAAACAAGGACCAGGCCGAGGTTCGCAATTTCTATTGGTAGGGGCGCCTGAGTCAATGAGGGGGTCCCCGTGTCGGTTAGGGAAACACAGTGCCCAAAGGAGGGTCCTATGTCGGCAAGCGGCCCCGAGTCGGCCAGGGGAGCATTTGGTGAACAGCGACAAGAACGAGACCTCGAATATCAAATGACCTTTTGGGAAAGTCTGGGTCTCCTGACAATGAAAGTGGATACGAAAGTTTACTAGGAGAGGCCACAATGAGAAAATGAATGGCCCTTTGCCAGTCAGGGCCCCCAGCACCGAACGGGGGGTTCTTCACCCCACTCCAGCCTGGGCCCCTTATGCCGAACTGGACTCTCTGTGCCACTTATTGGACACCTGCGCCGACGAAGAATCTTCTTGCATCAATGAGGGCCCGCCGTCTACCCGGGGCCAAATGCCCGTATCAGGAGACCTCCGGCGTCAGGCAGGCGACCACGGTGTGATTGATCCCCCAGAGTTCCGCATCGACGGGAGGTCGCGTCCCCGTGTCGCCAGCATGGCAGCCGGCAGGCACCCCGCGCTGTAACGGCATGCCCGTTTAGACCCTGGCTGGAAAATATATGATCCCCTAATAGTTTACACACTGGCCCCTTGCCCGGAAAGGTAAGAGGTTTCCCGAGCGTTCAATGGGGCGGATCAAAATAAGGTCAGGATTGAAATGGCTAACACAAACAAGGACGTTCATTCTTGCTCACAATTAAAATCCAGATAAATCTCTTAACATTGTTTTGAACCTGCTTGCCCACAGTCTTGGAGCATGAACGCTTATGTCAGGAGGTGAAGTTTCTGTAAGCCGTGAGCGGTGTTGACCGCTGCAGCTAACACCGGGCGGCGGGCGCCTGGTGTACGAAAACAACCGTCGTGAAATAATGCCACGGAAAGTCATCCAAAATCAATTCATACCATTCAAAAACTAGACTGGAGTGTATATCACAGCGTGCAATTTTGAGGCCGTCCTTTGGACAAGTAAGCAACAACAGGAAAACAAAAATCAGATTCCGCCTTTATTTGTTTATTCCCATGGCAAATTCCAGCACCGGTTCACGGTGCGGTCTGTATGCTAATCCGTTCCTGTTATAAACATACAAAGTGCATAGTGAAGCATGCTTTTCGGTCACCTTCTAGACGTACGAATCGACATATTAAATTGATCAAAGATACCTCTCTGAGAAATACCATCGATTTGTCATCTTTCGCTGGCCGCCATCTGGCATTAGCCGCGGGGCGGTTGGGGCGGGGCGCCGTACGGTTTATGGAGACTGCAACGCCGGATGCCGGGTATTTGTTTCAAGGCTTGCGACCGCGCATGACCAAAATTATGTTATGCACTTCTTCAACCACTCGATTTCGAAAAAAAGGTTAAATTCCCACCAGGGTGGGCGCTGGCCATATCAATGCAAATTCATGACCAATTTCCGATCTACAATCTACGTTCGCTACCGTCTACGTTCACAATATCCGTATAATATAAAACAATTCCGGCGTAGCCCCCAGCTCCATACAACAAACTTTCACTATTTAGTAAATATGCTGCTCAGTACGTCATCGTTTATTGGCGTTTGCATGACGTTTCATGGCGTCATGCATGACTGGATGAGCTTGAGATGGACTGCACAAGTTCACGGACGTTAAGCGCAGGAACCAGAGGGTCTAGGCCTTAAAAGGGGCAGAGCTGTGAACTGCACTGAAAAATCCTGAGAATGCCTATATCAGTGTAAAACCCCACACAAGTGTGAAACAATCCCTTCAAGCAATTCAATGTAGTGCTGCGTGCGTCTTCTGGCTAAGGCCCTAGAACTCGTTTTCCGGCACCTCGCTATCAAGGTATGGTTGATCACGTCGTTTCATTTACCCTAACTGGAGATTAACGCGCGACCAAAGCGATCCCGTAATTTGTCGTGCAGAACCATAACTTCGGCATTTGTGACCACGCACACGAGATGGATCAGCCAGGCGCACCGATTGCGGTAACTACTTCACAGCCGACGTACGCATACGCCGCTGGCAGCAGACCACGGACGCCGCGGAAGCCAATGAAGTGGACGATAGCTCAAACAGACGTCCACGGAGCGTGGGTGTGCGCGTGTGCGTGTGATTACTTATGCGATTACGCTTCTTCACACAGACGAGACGGCACTGACAGTGATTGCACTTTCGATGGTCCGCGATCACTATGGGCCGAACAGTGCTTCAAACGCAGCACCTGTGCAGCGCCCGATGCGCCTACAACAGCGCAGCAGACCGCACTCAGCAGCACTAACGATTGCGCCGTTTGACGCATCGTATTGGCGTAACTGGTCTTTATTGCGTGGCGGTATTGGCATAACGGTCTTTGCATTGGCATAAATGGAATCCTTGCACGATTCCGCACAGTCGCGTACAAACTGACAAGCATACCATTGCACCTCCTATTGGAATGGGCCTCCAGGACTCAGACCGACACGTAGCCAACTTTTGGTGCTGGTGGTCTCGGGCCGAAATAGAGGCCCCCATTATCCGAAGGTGTCCCCATCGGTGCAAGAGGTCCTCTGACTGACAACTGAGGCCCTGGCCGTACGGACCGGAATCCTCAACGCGAGCTACGATCAGCCCTTTGGGTACCTAATCGTCGGTCCCGCTGGGCCCTCGGGACCTAAGGAAGCCACGGCACATGCCTCCTGTGCCCCCTCTGCCTGCGTCACCGCTGGGTTCAGAGCGGTTCAGCACGTTATCAATGACGCTAGGCAGTAGAGAGCACCTGAGATATACACGCCTGGCATAAGGGAGCTGCGTATTTATTTTGCTTTAGTTACTCTGGGATCTCCCACCGGGACCATGGCAGGGCGGAAAAGGCCCCAATCTGGTAGCATACATTTAACCAACCTTTCGCGTATGTTTTAAAGTATTTTGGTTGGACAATATCTCTAAACGGAAAGGAGTCGCAGATCGATCTTTCCTCCCCTTCCGATCGTCCCGTGCTAAGATGGCATACTGTAGAAAAAATGAGGTAACGTTGCATTGGCAAGGCCGTCCCACCCTCTCTTAGTGTGTTCTTCCTTGCTTCAGAGATGATTCGTGGAAGCTTGCATAACACAGCTTTAAGAACGTGCGGTTGCAAGTCTTTAGAAGCAAAACCCCTAAAGCCTGACATGAGCTTCTTTTGGCGGAACGGCGTCGACCCTGCTGGTAATACCAGGCGACGGTCAACGGATGGACAAAAATGACCACTCTCTCGACCGCCAACACTCCAAGCGGGGCGAACTGTGATACACCAGGTCAGCCGGTGCAGTGTCCCTCCGCTCCAGCAATATGCAGCTAGCTGTTCCGGCGAGACCACAGCTCTTAAAAAGCGACAAAATCCCGCGGCAAACGCCGATGAGCAGAAGTACAAATAACGTTTAAAGTACATCACGAGGCAAAGTACAGATTTCAAAGCCAACGAGCGTACACTCAAGTTCTGTATTGTCAATACTACGCTTCGGCTGCATAACAACACGGGGGTGCAACAAGTCTGGTGCAGTGTCAACTGAGGAAAATGACTTCCACGACCATTTATCGCAGGGTATTGCTTCATAACTTAACGCAACGCATGTTGCGCGTTTTAGCGGACGGATAATACTAACAAAAACATCAACAAATGCACCATTCCTACGTGGGCAGCCCGCTAACAGAGAACGGACCTCATCCTGACAAGCACGGGGTTTCTATGAACAGATCAGCCTGGCAGGTACGCCGCTTCCACCAGCGGTACATCTACCGTGTTAAACTGTGGTAGATTACATTGCACACGGGCTCGACGCCTGCCGACCAGCGGGCTAGCGCGGCACGGCCCCGACCGCTGGCGGCAACTACTGGCGCTAGCCGCTGGCGCTAGCCGTTGGCGCTGGCCGACGCGGCGCTACTGCTGGCCGCCGTCAGCTCAGGCCGGTGCGGGGCCGTTAGCTGGCACGTGCCTCCCGCATCAGCCGCACCGCCAGCTCGTAGAAGGTGAAGTGCAGGCCGGTGGTGGCCATGGCCTTGATGGAGGAGGGCATCAGACCCTTGTAGATGCCGCGCACGCCCTCCTGGTACGCCGTGGACCGCAAACAGTGTAGCAGACCGCGGTACTCACGCACCTGCAACGGCCAGGCGTTCGCGTGAGACTCGCACCGCTAGCGACACGCATGGAGCACCCGCATAGCCACCCGCCTTGCTTTCCTAGCCGCCTCAAACTGCATTCCCAATTACCCCATGATGTCGCTGTGTGGTGCAAACGTGGTGGCGGAGACCTTCCACGATGGTCGCGATTTGTTTCGACACTATCTTTCCCGTTAAACCCATATAATTACAATAGTTAACTCGTCATCTCGCTTGCATGTTTGAATGAAGCGTGATGCGTGATGCCTGTTTACTTGAATTCGTTTGCATGTACACGTATTTTTCGCGCATTTTAATCCTTAGTTTGATATTCACCGCATCGCAGTAATGACTAGCAATTGCTCCCCGTTTAATCCCCTAAATGTTGGTGTCCTGTAAAATTGTCGCTCGCTGTTAAAAACCTGAAAAAATCAAGTATTTTCTTGTTTTGTTTGATTTTGATTGATTGATCTGATTGATGATCTTGATTCAAAAATCATCAGCAGGCAATTTTAAATTGACTTCTGCTATTGGTTTCAATAAAGACACGGTGCCAAAACATCAACGCATGTACATATCTTTTTTTCTGTTTTTTTTCCCTCTCCGAGGAATGAGGCTATTGTTACTGTCTTATGTATGCGTAAAACGGTCTTATTGCACCTGTGTCCTTGATTTAGTTATTCTCGTGCAAATTTCTACAAAAGGGAATGCCGCGACTTGCGTTCATATTTTCCGGCAAGAACACTCAGTACCGATAGTGACGGATGGGAACAAATTAATAAAAAAACGCTAAAACAGAACAAGCACAGATTGCACACGTGGGGGGGGGGGGGGGCACACGTGGGGGGTGGGGCTACGCCACCTACAGCATGCCATGGTTCCTGTGTCCAGACACACTACGAACTAGGAACATAAATGCCTTCTCCATGCATGACCTTAACTCAGAGCATATCCATAACTTTATCCAACTTTTGGCAATTACAGGCAGTCTCTAAGTGGATATTATTCGATGCAATCAGCCTGTCACACGATTAACGATATTTAGTCACCACCCATTTTCATCACAGCACAACAAACTCCGACACCGGCAGGTTTGGCTTAAGTGGGCTGAAACGTGACATTCAAATCACAACTCGAAGTTCCTGAGCGGCAAAGAGACTGGAAAAGAACAGAGACCACGGAGATCACGCAGCCCCTTTACCGCACATACACCATGTGCGTCTGTCCCCCGCGTCTAACCTCGATCTCTTGCCCCACCACCCTGGCTTCGATCTGCTACCCCGCCGCCCTGGCCTCGGTCTGGAGCCCCGCCGTCCTCGCCTAGGTCTGTAGCCCCACCGCCCTGACCTCGATGTGCTGCCCCACAGCCCTGACCTTAATTTGCTGCCCCATCACCTTGACCTGGATCTGCTACCCCAACGCCCTGACCTCAATTTGCCGCCCCCTCACCTTGACCTCGATCTGCTGCCCCACCGTCCTGGCCTCTGTCTGCTGCTCCACCGCCTTGTTCTTGGTCCGTAGCACCACCGCCCTGATCCCGATCTGCTGCCCCACCGCCCCGACCTCGATGTGCTGCCCCACCGTCTTGGCCTCTATCTGCTGCCTCACCGGCCTGACCTCGACCTGCTGCCCCACCGCCCTAACCCAGACCTGCCAGTCCCAGCACCGCTGCGACCCCGCCCGGTGGGACCCAGTCACAGCCTGACCTCGCCGAAGCCGTGTCGGTGCTGCTGGAAGCCCTGGACCTGGATGCGCTTCTTGGCCACGTCCAGCGGGTAGACGGCTGTCTTGGCGGCCAGGCCAGCCACCACGCCGCACAGCATGGCCCGCGTCGTCGGCCGATCCTGCACTGGAGTCAGGCCGGCTCGCGTCAGGCCAACTCAGTGCGCCGCTTACACTCACACTCCGATGACCTCAAACTCCAAACCATGCACTCATGTACACTGTAAGCACAGGGCGCTGATGCGTCACCACAGCAGGGCAATCCAGCCGTGACTGCCCAGCCGGCCGGCACGGAAGCGTCCTGTCTCCACCGACCGTCACGTCCCTGCCGCACTCACACAGGAGCTGGCGGCTCAGCAGCTGGTTGCAGGCGGCGAACGCGCCGAACTGGAGTGCCGTGTACGGCGCCGTCTGCAGCATGGTGGGCACCAAGCCCTTGGCGAAGGCGGTCGGTCCCTCGTTCCGCAGCATGTGCGCCGCCGCCGCCCGCATACTCCGGTAATACTGAAACGGTCGGGTCAGGTGCTTAGGAGCCGTTCCGGTCGGGTCAGGAGCTGTTGCGGTCGGGTCAGGACTCAGAAGCCGTTACGGTCGGGTCAGAGGCCGTGGAGATCGGGTCAGGTGCCGTTATGGTCGGGTCAAGAGTCGTTACGGTCGGGTCAGAAGTCGTTATGGTCGAGTCAGGAGTCTTTAGGTCGGATCAGGAACTCAGGAGCCGCCACGGTTGAGCCAGAAGTCGTTACGGTCAGGTCAAGGGCCGTCGCGGTCAGGTCGGGGACCCAGCAGCCGTTCAGGTCGGGTCAGAAGCCATTACGGTCGAGCCAGGAGCGGTTTCAGTCGGGTCAGGAGCTGCTACGGTCAGGTCAGGAGCCGTTACTGAGAAGGCGTGGGCAGCTGCGTGATCTGTTAGGTATTATGTGAACAGTGTAAATGTTTCTTATATATCTTTAGATGTTCGACCCCCGCAATGAGTAGAGCTACTCACGAATGGCTTAAAATGCTTCCAATCATTTCGGCGAATGTAACCATCCAAATGCTTTTATCGATCGGACATAACGCTAAAAATGACGCGTTTTGCTGGCAACCGAATTGTTGAACAACACAGTTAGGAGATTATGTCTCATATTCCAATAAACAAATGCACCACTGGGGTAGGCGAGCATGGAAACTTCATCACAAGGTCACAATGTCCTCAAGAGGCCTCGTGCGTTTCGAGCTAGATTCCGCTATATTCCCGCAGAACGTGCCGAGCTGTGGCCGGGTGACCTGCCGGCCGGCCGGGGCGGCCGCCGGGGGCTCGGCTGGCGCAGCGCCAGCCAGGCGGTGCAGCATCGGAGCCCGGCCAGTGCCAGCGGCGCGAGACGCGCTCCGGCTGACCCAGGGCCGCCCAGAGACGGCGGCGGCGGCACGGTGTGTGGACACGCTGTCGGTGGCCAGGGCTTCAGGGCGGCGCAGGAGATGAGGCTCAGTGACCAGACGGACGGCCGCGGCCTGGCCAGACAGGTGAGTGAAGCTCACTCGAGAGGGAAGCATGCTGGGGACGCGAATGTGACAGTCCGTTAGAGTCGTCAACACCCACCCCGTGTATCCGGCTCACAAGGAGTGGCACCTTTCGCTTAACTGAAGTGAAGCATGTATGTAAGTACATATATAACATTTTCACATGTCGCGAGGACGTGAAGGGCTTTAGAAGCCATTCGGTTACATGAAACTTTTTCACATTTTTGTTTCTGTTCGAGTACGCGGTATCTTTAAGCCTGCCTGTGCACAAATGACCGGTTACCGCCAGATTCATCTTAATCTCCCGCCAGCGTCAAAAATACACGTTTATGCTATATAGTGACTCAATCAGGGGCGGCGCATCGGAATGGTAGGGGGGGGGGGGGGGCTTTGTCCCTCCTGCCTGCCGGCAGGGCGGGGGACGAGGAACAGTATGCCTTTTCCCATCACTTTGTGAGGCCTCCTTTATACGAGCTGAAAGTTTTATAACTACACGTCAGTTATCATAATTCACATCCAGGAGGCTCCCACGGCTGAGCTCGCACGACATTGGGCCGCCAATACCCTTTATGGATTCAGTAGCGCATAATCCCCGGGATCAGGAGGCCCTACCAGGAGGCCTCTGCTGGCTGGGGAGACACTCCTTGTGCATCAGCAAGCTCCTGCTCTTGATCGGGCTGCGCTAGGTCTTGGAACATATATTGAGAGATCCTTTTTTGGATCAGGAGGCCTCTTTGATATATCAGAAGGTGGCTGTTCCGGATCAGGATGCCCCGCTTTAGGGCAGTGATGGCATTTCGGAGGCCCCCCACGCCCTTTATGGGGCACAATAGACCTGTTTCGAGATGGGCTCTTTGCTGGATTGAGAAGCCCCTGCATCAACAAGAAAGCTCCCGCTCTGGACTCCTAAACCGTAAAAATGGATTCACATAGAAAGTGATAACGTTAAATTTTGACAAAGGAGAGGGTACGCGTGTATTTGATGCTCACCTGAATACAATACTGCCCACGACAGCCACCTGTGAAGAGGCTCCATTTTATCCCGGACGTTCCCAGGAAAATGTTTCCCCTCCTCAAAATCCGTGGCTCCATCGCTGGCCTCTGATAAATAAAGAATATGCGTGTCGCACCTGTTGGTGGTTGTAAAATAATCAATTAGAGTACCAGTTCCACACCTGGTAAAAACAATGCTACGAGCGCGCGCCCTTTGGCACGAACATGGCATCCAAAACGACATTCTTGCACCCTGGTTTGGAACGCGACCATCTCAGCTGCTGCCTTGTAACCTCTGTAAGGTGACACGTAACTGGCCCGTTGACTGGTGAGCGCGTACATGCCCGCCAGCGTAATACCTCGTTCAGCCGACCGCGCACGTGCGCAATTACAGATCTTCGCCACGTTCTCCGTGAGTCTCATCATGTTCTCCACGGCGGTGGCTAACGCCGTGATCGGCGTGTTCACCGACCAGGTGACCTCCGACCCCGGGGAGATGCAGCTGACACCGGACCAGGTCAGTGACCCACGCATACCGAACGCAGGCGGCACAAACGACCGGCAGCAGCGTGGCTCTCCATGTCTCTCCAATTTTCTAAAAATGCGATCTTGTTTCCCGACGTTACCCCACACGCCCATTTTTTTTTCACGTTTTCCCATTCCAAAGTGTCATTTTCTGGTAACGTTAGCGGCATGTTTCAGTTTGATCCCTTCAATCTTGATCACCCCAACACAGATTTCAGAGGCGCGGCTGTCCCTTGCGTGAGTGCATGAGCCACCTTTGGCCGCCGACCGCGCCATCTGCCGGCGCCGCCGCTCACTAGCGCTGCCACCAGGTGTCGTCGGTCTCCTCCATTCTGTACGTGGGCAACATGGCAGGCCACCTGCTGTCATGCGGCCTGTGTCCGTGGCTGGGCGCGGCGCGCCTGCTGCGGATAGGCCTGCCGCCGCTGCTGCTCGGCTGGCTGGCCACCGCGCTGGGCGCCCACTTCAGCGTGCTGCTGGCCGGCCGGCTGCTGGTCGGCCTGGCGCTGGGCGTGCTCTGCGGGCCGGTACACACCTACGTCGGCGAGGTGGCCTCGCCCGGCGTGCGCGGCACGCTCGGCACCGGCATCATGGTCTGCTGCACGTGCGGCATCCTGGCCACCTTCGTCGGCGGCTGGCTGCTGCATTGGCAGGTGGGTGCTCCAGTGCCGGCTGCATCCTCCGATGGGTGCTCCAGTGCCGGCTGCATCCTCCGATAGGCCCTCAAGCGATGGGTGGATCTGCTGGTGCGTTGTTCGTGCCTTCGTGGCTGGCCGCCTCCCAGCGACGGGTGGATCTGCTGGTGCGTTGTTCGTGCCTTCGTGGCTGGCCGTCTCCCAACGACGGGTGGATCTGCTGGTGCGTTGTTCGTGCCCTCGTGGCTGGCCGTCTCCCAGCGACGGGTGGATCTGCTGGTGCGTTGTTCGTGCCCTCGTGGCTGGCCGTCTCCCAGCGACGGGTGGATCTGCTGGTGCGTTGTTCGTGCCCTCGTGGCTGGCCGTCTCCTAGCGACGGGTGACTACCAATTGGACATGTAGTACCCCCGTAACCGGTGTGTTCACTGACAACACGTGGGTCCCAACGTTACAGGGGTATCCAATGGTAACGACAGCAGGCTTCCCCGTAACAGCTAGGCCTGCCAGTAATGGCCGACTCCCCACTGGCACGTAAATATGCCGCTGGCAGACACGCCGATTGCCGGCTACACACTGGTGATAGTAAGGGGCTTTAGTAGCAGCGGGGTCCCCCAGTGGTGGGCGGGTATACCCGATAGGCCTACCCTGCATCTTCAGATCCACCCGTAAGTAAAGGTGAAAGTGGGTGGCATAAGATTTTCGACGCGAGATTTGGCCATAACTTCCTGCCACCGGCCAACAGATCACATAAATACAGGAAAGCATGGATTTCCAGGACTCCTTCCGAAGGTCAGTTCTGAACAGGCACTCCGGTAGCACCGAATGCAACGAGGGCTAACCCAGCCAGCACCTACCCAACAAACGAGCCACGCTCCAGAGCCGGCCCAATCACTTACACTCCAAGGTTGACCCAGCCAGCCCACCCCCAGCCACCACCTGCCCAATCAGCCACACCCCAGAGCCGGCCCAGCCAGCCCAGCCAGCTTACCCCCAGCCACCACCTGCCCAATCAGCCACATCCCAGAGCCGGCCCAGCCAGCTCATCCCCAGCCACCACCTGGCCCAATCAGCCACATCCCAGAGCCGTCCCAGCCAGCTCATCCCCAGCCACCACCTGCCCAATGAGCATACACCCCAGAGCCGGCCCAGCCCAGCTCACCCCCAGCCAGCCACCTGCCCAATCAGCCACACTCTAGAAGCCTGCCCCAGCCAGCTCAACCCCTCCTGCCCTCACCTTTCGCAGACGGTGTGCCTAGTGGCTGGGCGCCACGCCGGTGGTGGCGGGCCCTCTTCACGTCTTTCCTGCTGCCCTCACTCCCCAAGTGGCTGGGCGGGCCCAGCCGGGCCGCGGCGAGGAAGGCCGAAGAGGGCGCTGCGCTTCTTCCACGGCCAGCACTTCGACACGGCCCGGGAGATCGCCGCCATACGCGCGTCGCTCGCCCACGATCACGCGCAGGGCGCCTCGCTCAAACGGGTGAGACGGGCTTGGCCGCGGCCGCCACGGGCTGTTGACACCGCTTGGCACGTTCAGTGCCACTTTTTTCGCATCATGCGAGGCCAATGTCTCCGGGCATTGCCAGTGCACGGGCGGGACGTGACCGGACACCTGTGAGTGCCCTTTGGCGAATGTCGACCACAAAGGCGCAGTCAGAGGCATGGCAAGGGGAGGGGGCGGGATTGACAAAGGGCGCCCTGGTGATAAAATGATCAAAAGCCCCCAAAGTCGCCGGATGTGGCCTACTTGCCAACATGGGGCACGGTTTCCTTCGATTTATTATCATTTTTGCCATCTTTGAACGAAACAGAAGCCAGAAGCCCAAAGCGAGTTCACTTCTACTTGAATGGCGGAAACAATAAGCTGAAGAAATCAGGTGTTAAACTACTACACATAATAAATCGCCGACGCTGTTCATTTTACAATGGTTCAGTGGGTTCAATCCGTGCGTTAAGCAGGTGGTCGGGGCGGTCACTTCAGTCGTGCGATTTTGCGATTGTGGCGTTTGAATCTGACCTGGAAGACCTGGAAGAGTACAGACAGAATCTCTTTTTTCGTGTTGCTGTAACCATCGCTACAGAGGACAACCTCAAAATTTTGGAAAAAGATAACCCCAGTGCAATCTTTGAATGGTACCAGTGGATTTTAAGAGAATTTTGGAGGAATTTCTTCATGACGGTTGTGCTCGCGCGCACGGCGCGCGCCACCTGGTGCGGTCAGCGTGCGACCTGTAGCGGTCAACGCCATTCAGTTTTTACAAAAACTGCAACCCCGGCCATCGCTGATCTCGCTCCTGAGATTGCGAGGAGAAAAAACAGCGGCCAACATCGTTCAGTTTTACGAAAACTGCAATCCCGGCCATCGCTAGTCTTTCCCCTGGGATTGCGAGCGCGCAGGCTCAAAGCTTTTTTGTGTAATTTGCTTTACCAGTCGCTACTGAAAATAATTGGCGTTCTCAGGCAAACGTGGATCAGGGTTTTTCATTTTTGATCTGATTCCAACCCATGCTTTTGAACACTAATGAAATCTTTTGCTTTTTCGGGAAAAGCGTCCCGTGAGTAGAGCAAAATGGGATACATTATCGTTGCCGGTCAAGGGCTGAGGGTCATCAAGTCCGAGCGCGGGGTGCCTTCTGGCTGCCATTCTGGCGACACAGGAGCGGGTTCGGACACGGAGCCGCCGGTTTGGTTTCGTTTCGAGGCTCTAATTAATAGGAATAGACGGCCCGAACACAGGCCCTCTAACTGACATTTCAGGTCGCGGTACGGTAAGAAGCACGTGACCCCTAAGCCCCTCCCCCGCCTGCGCCGCTGGTTGAACAGAGTGCCTTGCTGGGTGCCGGCGGGCCGATCTCGGCCATGAGGTCATGCCCACACCGAGCTGCTGCTGCGGCTGCTGATCGTGAACACGTGTGCGTGTGTTTGTGCGTCCACATGGCAACATGTCCAAGGGGCCGTGGGTCCACATGACCGCATGCCAGTGTGGTGCCGCATCCATGCACCCCGATGTCTGAGTCCACGCGCCCAGGTTTATACGTGCTCGTGGTCTATGTCCCCACGTGTGCTCACGCGATGCCGGTCCGCAGAGCCGGACAGCGCAGCGCAGCACAGTTTGTTTGAGCATTTGGCTGGCACGGTCCCGTGGATTTGAGTGCGATGTCCCGCCATAGCGTCTACCACCGGCGCGACGGGTTACAGCGCTGACGACTTCGTGCACTGCACCAGTGGCGAGATGACCCGAACGTGGATGTGACCGGCAGAGCGCGGCGCGTCTCCGATGCCACTGGCGGCCTCTGCTGCTGGTGCTGGCCAACTACACCTTCTTCGCCACGTCCGGCGGCGTGCCGACCACCCTGTTCGCGCCGGTGCTGTTCCGGCTCGCCGACCTGCCGCCGTACGGCGGAGCCGCGCTGGTCGGCGCCGTCCGCCTCCTCTGCGTGCTGGTCTCGGCGGCGCTGGTCGACCGGCTGGAGCGGCGCTGCCTGTTGCTGGCTAGCGGCCTGCTGGGCCTGCTGGGCTGCGCGGCCGCGGCGCTGGCGCTGTGGCGGCCGACGCCGTTCGGCCCGGCCGGCCCGACCGTCTGCGTGACCGCGCTGCTGGCCGTGGTCGGCGCGCTGGCCGTCGGGCCGCAGCCGCTGGCCGGCGTCCTGATGGCCGAGCTGCTGCCCAACACCGTACGCGCCTCCGCCAGCGGGCTCGTGCTCTTCTACTTCGGCCTGCTCAACTTCGCCACCGTGTACGCATTGCCGTGGGCAGCGCGCGAACTCGGCATGGCCGGCCTGTACGTCTTCTTCGGCGGCATGCACGTGGCGCTGGTGGCGTTCTCGGTGGTCGTGCCGCGCACGCGCGGCCGCTCTCTGGAGGAGATCCAGGCGGCGATGAGCGACGCTCGGCCGCGCGACGAGCACGCTCAGAAACGGAACGAGGCCACCGCGGGCGACGACTGTGAACGCAGTGCAGTTGGGCCGACGACGCAGACTTGAATCCGACGACCTGCAGTGAAGCCGACATCGTCTGAACGCTAGATGAGACTTCGACCCTAGCCCTCACGACGTCAAGCGTGAGACTACCGACGTCACGCGTGAGACTACCGATGTCACGCGTAAGGCTACCGATGTCACGCGTGAGACTACCGATGCCACGCGTGGGACTACCGATGCCACGCGTGAGACTACCGATGTCACGCACGAGACTACCGATGTCACGCGTGAGACTACCGACGTCACGCGTGAGACTACCGATGTCACGCGTAAGACTACCGATGCCACGCGTGAGACTACCGATGCCACGCGTGAGACTACCGATGTCACGCACGAGACTACCGATGTCACGCGTGAGACTACCGACGTCACGCTGAACCCCGCGCCTCGTCGCACGTCGAACCAGTCACGACTGGCATGCGTTTTAGCAGCATCGGTGGCTCTTGCAGCCCCCACCGGGTGTCTCTCGCCAGCTACGCCAGGCGACCGTGTGGTGGACGCGGTCAGCGGCGCTCGGCATCCTGCCTTCTGAAGGGTTCGCCGCCCGCTCAGCCGACTGGCCGCTGTGAGGACCAGCCCGTACACGGGTGCCACCCAGCCCCCTCGGACCGGGCCCGGACACCGATTCCGGCCGCCCCGGGCGCCGGGGGACGCCAGCGCCACACGTGTCGACGGTGACTTCCAACGCACGGGGTGAAGCCCGCTTTCGCGGCCAGGCTGTTGTCAGGCATTCCTTTCTATGGCAGTCATCACACATGTTGGCTGGAATGCGTAACAGCGGCCTGGCCGCCACAGCCACGCAGCAGCGCGGCCAACACTTGTGATCTTGATCGTGAAAATATTACTGTTTATGGAAAAACTAGATATAGTTCGACCAGTTAAGATTGTTGCTTATATCTACACTGCCTGTAGTTGCACGATACGTTAAAGGGCATCCCTGGTCATCCCTTTTCCACACGCATCGCGCAGGTACAATACATAAAACGTTAAGCGTAATTTTATGTGCCGTTATATGTGTAATTGCATATCAATGCAATTGGCATACATGCGTAATTAAAGGTGTAATATATGCATACATATACACACGATCTCTAATGAGAATAGTTCTGGAACCGTGATCGATGATGAAGGAACTGAATAAACAACGAAGTGCACTCGGGTATCGTTTTGTCCAAAATTGGCATGTGTCATCGCATACGTGCCGCACCTGCAAGTGATGCATTCTTTCTCTCGCACATGCATACGCCTGGGGCATTCGCACCATTCGACTCACCTTGGGTTCACCTTGAGCCACTAGGCGTGTGCGGACGACGTCCAAGGGGAGCGAGGCGGCGGAGGCCGCCACGCCGGAAGCGCCACCGGCCACGAAGTGCAAACTCAGGGCCGTCCCGCCAGATGGCTCCGATGCCAGCTGGTGCAGCTCGCGCGTGAAGTATTCGAAGCACGCAAACTGAGGATGGATGCACCCAGCGGGCCAGGTCAAGTGGGTTTCCTTTGCTTTCTTCCTGTGGCCCCCCTGTTTTCATCCTTACTTTGGCCGGCAGTAAGGGCGACAGGTACTGCAGGTGCCTGTAGCACCTGTACATCTAATGTACAGGTGCTACAGGCTGTAAGCACCGGTTCCGGCCTGGCCTGCTCGGCCCTAGAAGCGAAATCAGCGGTCCAACCGATGATCTGCGAGATTAAGTCCACGTGTAAACATACGTGTCTAGGTCCTTGTAGCTTTCTTATGTTTCTACGAGCGGCAGTACAGGCGTGTTGTCGTACTGCGCATATGAACATATCTCTTTTCCCACAACAAACCACTCATAATATGTCAGCACAGGTAGTCACACGAGTACGTTTGTAAGCAAGTCAAATTGACGACGTACTCATAAACTTTGAACAACAAGTACGACTGTTGGTTCAAAATTTTAAGTGGCTTGTTGTAGGGAAACCTATTGGATTGGGACAAAAGGACTGGTGACATTCACATTTCACTTGTCGAAGCGGTGTGCAAATTTATCATCAAGTATCACAGGATAAATTGGTGAGATGCATTACAGAATGATCTTCTGTGAGAACGTGGTGTATTTCCTATGAGAAATGGTCGTCTAATAACCAAAACTAATACAACTAATGACCAAATCGTCTAAACCACGTCCACGTGTGTCGGTCCACGTGTCCACGGTAATTACGCATTTTTGATGACCTCCGAAAAAGGTCATCACCGAAATTTAACGTCCATGGTCCAGCCAATGATCTGTGAGGTTCAGAGAGGTGTTCTGAGACGTCAAACCAAGGATTTTAGAGCTCGAAAAGCAAAGACAGCATCATTTGAGGGAGTACACAGTTGGTCCATCGCCTACGTATTCTGGGAAAGCAAACCGAGGATTTTGGGGTTCGAATCACAGAAATAGTATTATCCAAGGGAGAACAAAGTTGGTCCACCGCCTAGATGTTCTGGGAAGGTAAACCGGGGATTTTAGAGCTCAAATAGCAAAAACAGTATTAGTTACGGGAGAACATAGTTGGCCCATCGCCTTGGCCTTCAAGGAATGCAAACCGAGGATTTTAGGGTTGAAATCACGGAAACAGTATTACCTAAGAGAGAGCACAGCTGTCTCATCGCCTGTCTACCCACGCTGGTGACGCCCCACCTCCAAACCTTCCCACGCCTTAACCTGAGTAAAGCGACCGCTGCCGTGGCTGCACGAGCTTCCCAGGCCCCTGGGGAGCCAGACGGCGCGGTGCTCCCTCACGCCCAACAATACGCCGGTTCCGCTCCGGTAGCCACTGACCCCGTGCCATGAACAGCCGCCGTTTGGCGTGGGGCGGCGAGGATTCGCAGGCGCGCTGCAGCGGGCGGAGGCCGGCCGCGGCGCCGGGCCTGCTCCGATGACGGGGGGCCCGACGGCTTCCGCCGGAGCACCGCTCAGCGTCCAGTCAGCCACCCCCGGCCCAGTCAGCGGCCCGGCCCGGCGGCACACCGGCCGGAAGGCGCGGGCGCCCCCCCCCCCCAACCCCTCCCCCGGTCGGCGCCGACCGCCACGCGCCGCCGCCGGCCGAAGCGGCGCTCGGTGAGGAAGCGCGGGTTTGCTGCCGTCACAGGCATGCTGCTAAATTACACAAGTATAGAGACGCCTGCACTAAATACATGAAGACAAAAGATCGTGTCCGTGTAAATTTGGGTCTGTGGGAAATATAAAAAACACACGAGCCGAAAATGCGTACCCACTTAACACGTGCCTGGGTTAAGTACCTGAGCACCTCAAGCATACTGTTTTGTTTGTGCTACGCCTGGTATGCGGCATCTACACCTTGCATTATTGTGCTTCATTCACGTCCTTATTTAATGCACCTCTCATTTGGCTATTAGCCACATACCCGTAAGGTGGAACTGACACAAATTTGTCAACACTTTCAAAACAGTCGATGACCAAAGTAACATGACCTATTTGATTCATGTTGGGTTGGAATCACTTCAACGTTTATACTAGCTTTGCTCGACTTTACTTAGAATCTTGCCACGCCGCATTACATTATTCACGGCGGCTCAAACATTATAACATCCGTGATAGACAGACAGACAGACATCCGTCCACAGCTCCTCTCAATTATTCCGTCAAACCATTTTAGTCGGACTGATTAAACAGTGACCGCTGCATCGGTCCTTTCCCTGTGACCCCACCTTGTTCAGTATGCGACGTACCGGCGGTGGTGCTATAAATCACGCACTCGGAGGATTATTTCAGCCGTAGTGTCATTGTTGTGACTTGAGAGGTCACTTCTTGACCCAGACCCAAAACCCGAAAAGCTACAGAGCCGGGAGGCAGCAAAGAATAAGCTGGAGCCTAGCGGCGAACTACTTTTTATGCCTTGGTTTTGAAAGTATTCTGGCGAGAGTATTTCGTACACTGTGCGCCAACCGACTAAGATCATTCTCGTGACCTTACAGGTCACCTATTAAACAGGCAAAACAAGCAATCGGATAGCTTAGTCAATGAACACCGAAGTTTTTCCATCCTGTAACTTCATTAGTTGGAAAGATGGCAGGGAAGGGACGTTAGCGCCTCGTCGGGCGAGTGTTTTGACCATGTGTGGCGAGGGTTGATAAGCAGAATATTGAGGTACTTGAGCCCCGGCCATTCCAAAGTCCAAAATAATATGCACCCTGTTACATTGCTGTCACCGTTGGGTAGGCAAAACATCATCATATTACGCACTTGCATCCCTCGTTGGCGCTCAGAACGTGGGAACCAGAGGGGAGGATGAATGACGAGTTCTCCAGCTACCTGTAAATCCAACACGGGCCCCACAGGACTTGAATGGCCAGTAAAAAAAAAAAAATGTTACACCGCCCACGCTCCCTCCCCCACACCAACATGGAGAACTTCCGCCGTGCCTGCTGAAGCTTGGCTCCCACACATTACTGATGAACAGTGCTGATACACATATCACAAAGAACGTTATCGGCAAGTCGGCACGTTTCCGTTCTGTCCGACACAACAGGCGTGAGAGTTACGATCAATCATCAACAATCCACTGCATGCCTCTCTCCAACAGTCCAAAGAAGAAACTATCCGACCAAACACGTCAATTCCAATAAATCAGACATCACAAGCCATCCAATGAAGACATCGCGTGCCAAAGATAAAGCTGTCGCCAGACATTTCACGCCACTGAATCCGCGCTTCCATCGCCTGCGATCGGTCATCAGGTGGCCGAGGCGCCTCCGCGGGCTGGCCGCCGGCGGGGCGGGGCGGCGCGGCGCGGCGGGGCGGCGGGGCGGGGCGCGGCGAGGCTGCGCGTGCCGTCCGTCTCTGAAGCGCACCGCCTCTGCGGCGGCTCCACCGCGGGCTGGCCGCCGGTGGGGCCGGACGGCGCGGCGAGGCTGCGCGTGCCGCCCGTCTCTGAAGCGCACCGCCTCTGCGGCGGCTCCACCGCGGCCCCGCCCGATGCCCGCTCGATAGCCGCGGCCGGCGCGTGTGTCAGCCGGCCTCAGGATCATCCTTCGGGGCGGCGGCAGCACCGTTACTACCGGCATCAGCGTCTGCGATCTGGACGGCTGCGGCGGCGGCGCGGCCCGGCCAATCCGGCTCATCTCGCTGATTAGCAGGCCGGCACAGACCGCCGGCCGCCGACGCTGCAGGGCGCCCAATTGTTGACGCAAGCTTTCTGAATGCCTTGGCTGCCATGTAATTCAATTTCACCAATTATGGGGACCACACATACCATTTTGGCGTCTCACAGGCATATCTACCGCTCTAGGTCCAAGTTACCTTTTGAGCCATCATCCAGTGCTGTCGCTTTTGGCAAGCGATACGCGATGCCACCGTAACCTGGTGGGACCAATGTGACCTCCCGACAGTTCTTTTCAATATAACTTCGCCCAATTTTGCATAGCTGAAGCCAAGTCAGTGCCCGATCTTTTGAATGTAGTCAGTCAGATGAAATCTGGAAGGTCGCTGACCTAAGGTAGGTCAAAGTCAGGCCATGGCTGTCAACGAGGGCAAGGTCTGAGGAATCGGTCAATCTGATACGACAACGGAGTGTTAGATGAAGCGACACATCTTTGAGACGGGCTCTTTGACAACTATACAATTCCATTTAGGATTACTTGTTCCATTGACAATGGATTAAGAACAAAAGTCAAGTCGAAGTCTAAACAAAACTGTTTTTTGCTAGGGACTTTACTTTGCAGGATACCTTTTGACGCTAATTTCGAGTTGATCACCGGAAGGTGAAACAATGCTATTTGAACATAACAAAGGTCAGAAGAGGCCAGTGACCTGTTCTTTGGAAAATACAAACTAGCGTCATCCCTGACGCTTATTGAAATACAAACTCAAAACAGCCTCGAAGGTTTTTGGTCACCTTGGCCTTCTCAAGAGCAAATAAGGTCACTGGTCTAAAATGAACACCAGTGACCTTTTACTCCGCAGAGGTATCCAGGTCGACGGTAGTTGTCTGTGAGTAGGTCTGAGGAAACTTCGGACACTGACCGGCAGTTTGACCTTATTTGACCCACATATCGCACCCTGGGGACCTCAACATACGCGGGCCTATCTATTCCGTGTATTCCGTGAGTCTATCTCTCTTCGCTATTGAGATCTTACGAAGGGGCATATTGACCCCGCCCCACCCATCCCCACTCAAGTGACATCCTATTCAACCGGGCACCCGGGCGCGCGTGCTTTTTTAGAGCTTGATAGACGTTGAGCCCGAATGTTTTAGATGCGAAATCCTCGCATTGTGCACCACCTGACAATGACGTATGCCCGTATAAAATTCAGCAGACCACATAACAGATGTATTGGGCTTTCCCGCGGGTTAAGCAACCTGCAATGCCATCTAGAGACTAAGGTACCCAAGCACGACATGAGCGCCGTTATGATGTCCTAGCTTCCTTGGCTAAGCTCACCATCCGTACAATTATAGAGAGGCTATTCAATTATCACAACCCATTACGCAGCACGTGGCGCAGGTAGATCTTCACGTTAACACAAATGCCCGAGAACAATAAGCAGAGCATGGTGCACGTCAAAACTTCGGAGCAGAGCTGCAATGCATAGCTGATGCGTGCGTCTGTTTGCTTAGTTCCACCACCAACACCCAAAACTATTACTGCTTTGAAATGTCGAAGCATGCCTTTAATGCTGCTTGGCACGGCCCGTGTTGAGAACGAAATCAGGAGCGGGGATTTCGGCCAGTCGATTGTGACAAAACATAAAACCTAAGCCCGCGTATTTCGCACTACATTGCTGTCATGCGACAGTATCACACAGCTTTCGTTTCTGGTTTTTTTAATATGGCCCAGTGGTCTCTCTTTGAACCAAGTTTATACACCAGACTGCAGACTGAAATTGGCTACAATATCGAGGTCACAGCGTTTCACATGAGTTTGTGCACAGCGCCCTGCATGACTACATCCTGCGGGACGAGTACTGGAGAAACATCAACACGACCACCTCTGCCATGAAGAGCGCACTCATCACATAATTTGCCACGCTGATGCGAGACCCGTGAAAAAGCCCACAATAGGCTGACCGGGCGCTGACAACCTCCCCATTAAAGGCACAATTCCAGCGGTTTGCGGACCGATTCATGGGCTATCAGCAGCAGCACGCACTCAGTACTAGCTGGAGGGTTTGCACGATGACGTCAGCCGCGTCAACAACCACCAAGCCCATAGCCATCAACACCGGTGACAGCTTCAGCACCAGCCGGTAGCCGCTGGAGGCCTGGAAGTGATTCCCCTTCCCGCAAAACCCCAAGCCCTAAGCTCGTTGACCTTTATGTCGGACAGCTTAAGTCCAGGCTGCGGCGCACGGTGTGCGGTCCCGCGTCCGCGACGTTTGACCCGCTCTGGGACCTGAGCCTGCCAATCCCGTCCATGACAGGCCAGGAGCGATTAAAGGGCAGCTTTGGCCTTTACGCCAAGGAATACGTGCTTGCCGGAGAAGAAAAGCCAACGTGCTCCATACGCCAAAAGCGTCACAAGTGCTTCAAGAAATTCCTGATTCAAAGGACCCCACGTACCCCGCAGTGCACCAGAAAGGGTTCTTGCTGCAGCAGGATGAGGATACAGAGACATTCTCAATACCATTGCTGACTTCGCCATGCTCTGTCGATATGCTCTGCCGCACTAACAGGTTGCAAACATAACCTGTGCGACGCGACCAGCCATTTTGGCGTGGTGTACTCGGACCACTACACGACCTATCGCAAACACCCCTTTTTGGGAGTCTGGTACGAGTATGATGACTCCAGAGCCCCGCCCAGCCGTGTGACCCGCGCCAGCAGGTGCAAAGCACACATGCTGCTTTCCGAGCTGGCCAGTCGCTGCCCTAACGCTGACCTGAACGCCATGACTCGAAGGGCCTCGAGGGCGTTGCCCCACCTCTAGTCCCGCCGGCTGACCGCTTTTGTAATGCCGATTTTAGCAATGCTTATATATATATATATATATATATATATATATATATATATATATGCATGTATATATATATACATATATATATACATATATATATATATATATATATATATATATATATGCATGTATATATATATATATACATATATATATATATACATATATATATATATATATATATATATATATATATATATATATAGATAGATAAGTCTGAGACCTGCATGCGTCCACTACATTTCGAGAACTGCCATCTAAGAAAAGGTCCCGCACGTGCCGAGATCAGCTGGCATTGACTGCGGCTAGCAACAGTGGGATACGCTGCGCAACGCTGTCAGGCGCGGCCGCGCTGTCGATTATTCATTACTTGACTGATTGACAGTATTGGCTGAGACCACCTTGTCTAGATATCAAACAGCTCATTGCTGAGGCGGCGCCGGGCTGATAAAGACGCACTGACTGGTGAAACCCCGGCACAAGAACGCAGTTTTGCTGTGGCAGCGACAGCGGGACGTGGCTCCTCAACAATATAAGACTAAGCCAACGGTCGTGACCAAACGCGCAGTGTTTCACGCAATCAACAGGGACAAGCTGGGATGAGGAGTCGGGCTCATCCCATCAGATGGTGGCAGTCGACAGCTGTGAGGGCGTTACAGCGTCCGGAGGCGTGAGCTGAAGCACAACAGCCGACACGGCTCACGACACAACAGCTCTTTTCCGACGGGGCGTGACATGGCGCGGCCCTCAACCCCAGCCAGTTTGCGTGACCTCTCCGGATTATGCCGCGGCCGACACGGGTACACACTCTTAACACGCATGCCAAGAATTCACGACTGGGTCTGGTCACTCGAATTACGCCCCGGGACGAGCAGAAGAGAAGTGAATGTTTCATGGCATCCACCAGACATCGACATGTCTTCCTAATCAACACTTAATAAATACGGAACAACTGAAGTGTGGTAACATGGGAAGCTAGCACTCACATCCAAATTCGTAATTACCGACACATACTAACTGATTCGTGGCTTGTTCGGCTGCGCAGTGGTGTATGACCATTTTAACCGGCATACCTACCTATCCTTGAACACGACTGCGCGAGCGAACAATCCACGGAAGCGGATCTTCAAAAAAAAAAAGAAATAAAAACGTAGCTATGCCGGTTAAAGTGATCATACATCACCGCCCCGACGAACAAGCCACGGCTCAGTTCCTGCGTGCCTGGAATTTGAGTGGAACGTGGACGCGAAATGCACCACGAGTTATGCGAGAGATGAGCAGTCCGCAAATTGCGCAACAGAATGTCCCACTGTTTGGCAGAAGCTCTCCGCACATCGTTTCCTGCAAGCGATCCCGTTACGTTCTGCAGTATGCATGCGGTACGTCTGCCGCATTCTGCTGCCCGTCATGCTCCAGCGGTCTCCCCACCTATCATCTCCACTTCTGAGTCCGGAGTCCGCAGACGAGATATTGGCTGCTAATTTTGCTTCTCCGACAAGGGCATGACGTGGCTACCAGTGATACAATACTGATGCTGAATCTGCTCGCCGCTGTCAGTGCACGCAGTCGGTGTTTAAAACTGCGGTAGTCAGCTTCACGAACCGTGGAGATCAAGCTGCACTATTAAATTGGATAGATTTTACAATGGCTGAACGCACCGCAGTTCGCATTTCAACATGATCACCAACGTTGAAAATAAATACTGATGATTCCAAGGACTTTGAAAACGCTTTCAAAAAGCTGCGTACCATGCTTTTACCATTACCATTATCACAACCATTCAAAGTCGATAGCAACCATTCATTCCTAGCATCGATGCAAATATTTGTCTACTGAAGCAAGGCCAGTACCAACCATAAAAATATGGATGGTAGCCATTCATTTGAAATGCTAATACTTGTACAGCATTCTCACGCTGTTTTTGCAAGGAGAGACAAGTGGTGCAATAGGGACACAGACATACATAATTTCATAGCAGCACTTTATAACCGCAAATGCACCTCAAACATTTAAGAGGCACAGGGTGCAGAATACTTAGCTATTCTGTGCACGGCAATGCAGCAGACGGCATCATCATGATAATCCCACTTTGACGCCACAACCATGGCCTGTAAAAGAGTGCAGCGCACATTTGTCCCATAAAACATACAACGCATTGTACGTAATAGCACAACGAAGCAGCGGGTCGTATAAGAGCCTGAGTAGGACAGACATCGCGCTGGCTGACCTGCACAGTGCCGTAGACTACCGACAGCAGCTGGGCCGGGACGTGCCCCTTCCAGAGCGCGGAGGCACCCTCGTCCCGGACCACCTGGCCCAGAGCCTGCAGCACTCCGCGGTACTTGCTGTTAGCGGAGCGGCGCACTGGCTCGTGCTGCAGCTGCGGGCGCGGGTCAGGCCACGGTTAGGGCACGCGCCACGCCACAGGTCAGCAGACCAGGCGGTCAAACGGCAGGTCTCGTGCGGATACGAGCGGCGAACATTAAGCCATCTCGCGCGACGTATGGCTGGCACACGTTTCAACATCACGATCTCGCAGCAAAGGCCCTAGGACATCGCAACAGGTATGACAATTTCGATAAAACCTTTTCCAGGAGCCTGATCACGAACCACATCAGAAATGTCATAGCTTGCCGTAGAACCATTCTGAGCCTTATCCATGAGCCTGACCAGGAATCAGACCCGAAATCTCACAGACTGCCGTAGTGTTTCTAGGCAAGGATCCTACAGTTACACTGACCTGGAACGTGATTGGATCCGGATACTTCGAGACTTGAAACTTAACCCCTCAATATTAAATCCGGGGCCAACGATGACCAAGAGACACATCAGACCCGGGTCATGACCTGACATAGACTAACCTGGAGTCTGATCAAACAGAATCCGCAAGCAAAGCCGTCTGGGGACTGACCACGCCCGAATCCTAACCAAGTGCTGACCTGGAACCTGATCTTGAGCACGTCCAGGGGCTGGCAGCAAAGCCGCGTGAAGAACCCAGAAGAGGCGCCGGCCAGGCCATGCTGCCAGCTGCTCAGCTGCGCGGCGGACGGATCATAGCCCACCATTCAGACCACCTGCAACACGGACACGGACGGGTCATAGCCCACCATTCAGACCACCTGCAACACGGACACGGACGGGTCATAGTCCACCATTCAGACCACCTGCAACACGGACACGGACGGGTCATAGCCCACCATTCAGACCACCTGCAACACGGACACGGACGAGTCACAGCCCACCATTCAGACCACCTGCAACACGGGCACGGACGGGTCATAGCCCACCATTCAGACCACCTGCAACACGGACACGGACGGGTCATAGCCCACCATTCAGACCACCTGCAACACGGACACGGACGGGTCACAGCCCACCATTCAGACCACCTGCAACACGGGCACGGACGGGTCATAGCCCACCATTCAGACCACCTGCAACACGGACACGGGCGAGTCATAGCTCACCACTCTCCAGCAGTCATCTACCACCACATGGAGCACAGGAACAGACAGGCTGCCGTCCATCACAATTCAAGATTTTTGGCAGCAAATGACGCCTGATATGAACGATTTCGGACGCCTAGTTTAAGGCTCCCCAAACTTACGGTGCCCTTCTGAAGGGCACATTGCGTTTTCAGTTGCTTTGGGTTTCCCTGGGATTTAGTGAAGTCATATGGGTCTCTATGACGTCTTTTGCTCTGACACCCAGCACCATTTAGAGCAACTGCAACACAGGGCCGGACTAACTGGACCTAGTCTTCGCCACGGGGATGAGAACTTAAGTCACTTCGGCGGTTGCACGCGTAGGTTACTCCCAAACCAAACAAGCAACCGCGCCTTCGCACTGCGGGCGCGCGCGTCCACACCGCCAGGCACCTCTTGAAACGACGCGTCAATTGCGCCGCAGCCGTCATCCAACACGCTGGGAACCCGGTGCTGGTGGCGAAAGCCAGCGCAGCAGCAGCCAGCTGCCACGCCATCCGTGCTGTCACGGCACGCCGTCAGCGCAGACCGCAGAACGTCCCGGCCAATGGGAGGCCGTCCAGCCGGGCGCGAGCCGGCGGAGCAGCACAGCCGAACAGGTCGGCTTCCCCGCTTCTGAGGCGCTTTGTCAGGCTAGGTATACTGTCACGCATAGTCAACCTTTGCATCGCACGTGTGCAACTGAGTGCGGTGCAGCGCGGCAGGCCTTTGCTGGCCAGCGCCACATATGCGACGCGTGTCATCAGCCAGCTTACCGCGGGACACATTCAGCAGCCACCAAGGCCATAAAACGGGCGAAGCGCTCCGACCAGTACAAAACAACGGTTTAAGGTTTAAGGACAGCGGGTTTTAAATTACTGATGCCATATGCTTGCTAAGTACATTGCAGACATGCAAAGGAGAGGCGCAAATCCGCGGACTCGATGGTATTCACTGTTCAGTCTACTCTTAAGGAGTCCGCCCTCTTTTCAAAGAGCTGACCCGTACATGGAAACTCCAGAAACATTAGAGGATGGAATGCACAAAGCGCGATAACCAACACCAAAAACTACCAAGATTCCCTCGAGCACCGATAACATACATCATCGAGCCTTCACACTTCATACATAACAGCCAACATCACAGACGTCATGCAAGTGTCTTAGCTGTATCCAGCAGCTTAAACCAATTTTTGTTGAGCGGAAGATGAATTGCTTTTGCAGCTGTCGATGACAGACTTGATAAAAGTTCAGTGCAATGAAAAATGTGAACTCGATTTCACGTTGAACATGCTTGGAGTACGCCTACCTGAAAAAGGCAATCGTGCACACAAGAAAGGCCTCAAGCCTATGGTTTTTCGGCGATGTGAGCTCACAAGAAAGACCTCATGGGAGCTCTTAAGACATCAAACGATCATCAGAACATAGCACGAGAGTACTCGACGTGCGGTGTTCGTCAGTGGCCATGAACATTGGTCTGATGGTCACGACTTACCATGGACGCTGCCTTGAAGCGTCGTGCATTCTCATAATGTATTCTTATGACCGCCTCACGAGCTCGGTTAACCAGTGCATCATAGTGAAATGAAGGCCAATATTTTCAGCGTAAGGACCCCTAGTGCCGACAAAGCCATCGCCTAGATGTAGCACCACTCCACTGTTCTGCATCTACTACTGAGACAGAACATGTTGCTAAAAGCTATTGCGTAGGACACAGACTTTCATGGCACGTTGTTTCCTCATCTACATAAACGTCCGGAGTCCGACCGAACGAAGCAATGACTCCCAGCGCTGCCGACGTGGCGATAACCACAGTCAAAGGGACCTGAGTGCCCTCCACCATCGCAACAAACGCAGCTCGTTGACGAATGCGAAGTCAAGGTATCGTGTCCGAGAAAAAGCTGATTTCCTCACGGCTGCGCTCTTGATCCACAAGGAACATTTTGCTGCTAGGGCCACAATAGCTCCGCGGCAGTAATGCATTCTGAAAAATTAACGCAACCATTCATACCTTTTCGTTTTTCATTTCGGAGAGGATGAGGTGCTTCAGAACGAGATACGAGCACAATTATGAACCTACCGCCAAATATAATAAAACACATTTAATTGACATGTGCTCTGTCATAAAGGGACGGAGACAAGTCCCTTACATCTTGCGGAATTAAGCATGACACCTAAGACGTTACGCAGAAAGCAACATTTCAAAGTGCTCAATACCCACCAACCACGCCCCATCTACCACCTTCTTTACACATTTGACCGCAATAGGAACTCATAAACAGGTCGCTGATGCTTAAACTAGTGCCGAAGCCGCGACACCCTCCAGCGCTGTGATGAGACAAGCTTATTTTCGGCACAACCCCGGAACTATGATGTGCATTCCCCCACAAGCGCTACCTTGTTGAGTCCACTTGTATTTAAGCAGGCGAGCCAGCTTATGCACAACCACTGAACGAGCGACGGACCCGGCTCTCACGACCAAACGTCGCTCGCATGAGTAACGGACCGGTGAAGCATTGAGCCAGACATATTAAACGTGATTGAAACGGATCACACATTCACGGATGATACGAGCCTCACGACAATAAGTGAGGTACACCGGACACATGGGTGCAAAGTATTACCACTTTGACCAGCTCACTGAAGGCGCTCGGCCACAACCGTCTTATCGTGTCACGTTGGTCCGGGATGGCTTCAACATCCGATTAGTTCCGATAGGAGCGGCCATGAAATACTGCGAGTTCACACGACGTGTGAGTGAAAGTGCAACCCCTGCCAAGTGCACACAAGGTCGTGGGCCGAAATCTTGAACATTCGGCATTTTTATCATGCCCGAAACGTAGCGTGCCTAACCGTTTGCAGCATGAGTTATGCCACGCATCAAGACCCCCGGCCGGTCAGCAACGAAGGGACGACAGTGGTCCTGCTCATGCAGGCTCATAACGTGAGTGGAATCCATCGTACAGGAGCGCCTGACTCACTCTGAGTGTGCGATGGAGGAGAAAGAACAGCGAGAGCATCATTTTGATTGCTTGTGCCGTTGCTAGTGTCATTGAATCGGCTAAACAAACACACACCGGCAACTATCTCTGAGCGTCAGCTGCCGGCGGAAAACGCACCACGCTGTACAACAATGCCACTCGGCATCAGCGACGGACCGGAAGGCAGGCCGCTGTCCCGCGCTGAAGCGTTCGCGCACTGACCGGTCGTTTGAGAGCGTCGTTGAGCAACAAACTCACGACCCCCCCCCCCCCCTGAGCGCGCCAGTGCTGACGATACGCTAGCCGAGGTGTGATCAGATACCGGCTGTATGGCCACCAAAGGATGATGCGCCAGCCGAGGTGTGATCAGATACCGGCTGTATGGCCACCAAAGGATGATGCGCCAGGGGAGGCGTGATCACATGCCGGCTGTATGGCCACCAAAGGATGATGCGCCAGGGGAGGCGTGATTACATGCCGGCTGTATGGCCACCAAAGGATGATGCGCCGGACGAGGCGTGATCAGATGCCGGCTGTATGACCACCAAAGGACGATGCGCCAGAGGAGGCGTGATCACATGCCGGCTGTATGGCCACCAAAGGATGATGCGCCAGAGGAGGCGTGATCACATGCCGGCTGTATGGCCACCAAAGGATGATGCGCCAGCGGAGGCGTGATCACATGCCGGCTGTATGGCCACCAAAGGTGCGACACTAGACGCCGCAGGCACCGAACAACCACCCAAACCCAGTGAGAAGTGGGAGGGACCTTTGCACCTCGGCCCATACATCAGCCAGGTGCTGCGAAGTATATTCTATTAGATGTTCATTTTCAGGTGATCTCCACCTAACTCTCAAGGTTGAAAAAGCCTTACGATCTTAACTTCGTCTCTGCTGTCAGCGTACCCTAAAGCACCAATGGTCAACCGATCACTTGATTGCAATTTGCGTGGCAGCACAGCAGACAAAAACGTACCAAGTCTTAAAGGAAGCAGGCCTGACATGCCTAGATTAAAACAAATCACTAAGATAGACAAAGTGCCCGACAGCACGAACTTTTGGCTTCCCCTGGCAGTTCAAGGCATCTGCTAACAATAGTGGCTAAGACAATGGAATACCAAACGCCGGGAGGGCAACAACTTGTCCAGGGTTAAGGGGAGGGGAAGGAGAGTCCGAGGCATTTCAGTTCGTTTCTTGCTTGGGTCACTAAGCTTTAAGCTAAATTTGTCCAAACGTAGTGGGTGTTGGGGGGGCTCGAGTCCCCGAAACCCATAACGTGGTAGCTTCCGGGCCTGTGCCTAGTGTGCAATGAAAACCCCATCCTTAATTGGTATCATCAGCTCGCAAAAGCGCAGTCTTGCTTCAGATATTCCCAAATTTCGCATGCCAGGGATCCGGAACGAGGCTACATATTTCAACCACGTATGCATACATGGTTGAAATATGCAAGCCTCGTCGCTCGCACTCGTTCCCAAGAGACGCTTGCCACGGCGGAGTTCTCACCCCACCGTTAAAAAAAAAAACACGGAAAACGACGTCAGAGTCTAGAAGGCGGCATGACATTTGGCGGTGGAGCAATCGTCAGATTATTTCAGCGCGTATGAAACGAAACCCAGGCCAACCGCAGGGG